CCTACCCCGCCTCGTCCAAACACCAGGTCAGTCAGTCAGCTCGGTGCGTACCCCGTGGACCAACTCTATCCGAGCGCACGGAGGCCCATGCTGCACTGAACAGCAGAATAACGATATAGCGCAGCGCCGTGTGAAGTCTCGCGCGGCAGCCGCGGCCACACCGGCGTCAAAACCAGATCAGTCCTCGTGTTTCCCTAATAAAAGATATGAAAGTTTGGTTCTTATTTCTCGCACACGAAAAAATAAAGTAAAAATACTTCCTCGTTGGCCGACGAAAGGGTTATTTTCCGGCGGGCTCTATACCCTCCCTCCGGCGGCGGCGGTGCGCCACGGGCCCGCCTATCGGGCAGTCTGGCGGGGCGGGGCGGAGCGGGGCGCCGCTTGTTTTATTGGAGAGTGAAATGCACGGCCCTGTAATTTGCCCTTCACTTGCGCGCTCGCTGATCCTGTTGCCGCGCCGGGCCGGGCCGCGTCACGGAACAGCCGGGGAAGGGTCAACGTTTGAGGAGGGAAAATAAGATGAAATAAGTAGAAGCGTTTGTCTCTCGAAATATGACTCTGACGCTGCGGTTTCGTCGCATCGTTTTCCTTTTAGCTACAAAATCCCGAAGAAAATAAATGAATTTATTTTAAAGCAAGTAGATGTTGGGAGTGCGATGTTTACAGTCCTTGGCCACACTCTTTGCGTGGCGGCGCGGCGTCGTGCGTCGTGGCCATGTCGCACAACACGCAGGTGAGGGGGAGGGGGAGGGGGGGTATGCTTGCGCGCGGGGGCCGCGAGAGGTCTTTACTTCCTTTTCCGAGTTTCTCACGCACAGCGCCTGACCAGGTGGGCTGGGTGGAAAAGGAGAGGGGAGCTACTCTGCGAAAACTCGATAATATAGTCCCGTCGTGCCAACTCCGCTCGGGGGTCGCGCGCTTTGTTTTTTCCGGTCCTTCGTTGACATTCAGTCCTCGCGGATGCTGACCGGGGCGTTTTCAAGTCGGGAGAATTCCGCTCCGGGGTCGCGGGCGCGGGTGGACCGGCGGGGCAGCGGGGGGCACGGCGGGGGCAGACAGCGCGCGTGGAGGAGCCAAGCACGAAATGTTGACGACGGCGAAGCCTCGGTATGGGTGCTGGACCTGGACCCCCCCTCTTCTCCAACTCCTCTCTCCCTAACTCCGTGTATCTCTGTAATTTATATGATGTAAATTAACGGTAAATATTTGTATACTGCGGTACTCAGCTTATAACATTTTTAAGGTTCTTTTGCACCCTGCGCTATAAGCTGTTGACAAGTACTTGGGATTCTCACCCCATCTTACCATAGACTTCAGAATTCTGAAATTCTGAAATTTTTCGGTCCCGCACTCTGGCGGCGCGGCCCCGCTGCCAGCTACTCGGCCGCCGCTGTACACGGAACAGCGCGGAGCTGCGCGGAGCCGCGCGTGTGAAGTTGAGGTCGCGGGGACGTGTGCGGGGTGCCTATGAGGCGAGCGCCGCCCGCGCGGCAACTTTACAAAAAGGCGCGGGGCGCGGCGGGGACAAAAAGGAGCGCGGGGGAGCGACGGAGTTGAACCGTGCGGGCCTCTCGCCCCGGCCCGGCCTTCTGCTTGTGCTTCTACAGTGCAGCGGGATGCGTGTCGGAATGGCGACGTTATTATATTACTTAAATTGGCGATTATGAGCAAAACCCTCCGCGCGGGGACGACGTAGGGCGCGAACTCATTTTCCACGGTGGCTGTCTGCTATTAATTAAGTGCTGTGTGGCGTTTTCTCGCATTACAGCAGACACACACAAAGTCGTAAAATGTCTCGCACATTTTATTCGCGGTGATTCTTTTTCTTTACAAGAATCCGTTTCTTTTTGCTGTGCGAGGGCAGTCGCGTCGTACTTACGTACGTGCCCGCGCCCGTGCGCCGCCGCCCGTACGGGCCCTGCGCCGCCGGCCCGTACCCACGCCGATCGATAGATAGTGTCTTCGTGTGGGAATAATTGGACCGAATGGGCGGATGACTCACAATCGTAATACTGGCGTCGATTGTACGATGCGTATCTCTGGAGCGTGCAGCCCGGACAGGAGGCGCAGGGGGGG